GAGCAGCGGGTGCAGGAGCAGGGGCAAGGCAGGGCCCGGCAGCCTCCCGGCTGGGCCCAGCTGTGCTTCCTGCCCGGGAAATGCAACCTTAACCCACTTTCGGTTTCCCTGAGCAAGGCCTTGCCCTGCCTCCAGGGACCAGACCTGGCCTCCACCTCCAGACAATGGAAAATGCAGCATCTTCCCCATGCAATCAAGCCGACAAGGCATCCGTCCCGGGCAAGTCGTCTGCCGGCTTTGGGGGTCTCCAGCCTGGCTGGTCCCTGGTGCAGAAAGCTGCCTCCTTGCCTGTAGGAGGATCGGGACCGGGAGGGCTGACGAGGAGATGCACAATCCTGCTGGGCTCCGTGCCACTTGCAGAGACAGGAGAGGCCGGTTGGCTCCGGGTGCGTGTGTCCGTGTGCGCTGTGATGGTCACGTGTGTGTCCGTACAGATGCACAGAAGAAGTAGGGCTGGGAGGGACCTGTGGACACACGTGTGCATGTGTTCGGCCATGCGTGCAGCATTGCCCGTGTACACTGACCTGGCACTGCTGGGGCATCTGGAGAGAGAACGTAGCAGACCCAAGGCACATGGGGGATCATCCCATGTATCTATTTAAGCACGTATGTCATTGTACACACATATGTACGCCCCGTATGCAGGTACGCACGTGTGCCTTTGCGTCTGTCCTCTCTCTAGATATACCCGCAACAGATAGAGGTATGTAGTGTGCATCTATCACTTTCCTGTGTACACAGTTTGCAAGGGCGGGTGTGCTCGGTGTTGACCTCCGTGAGTGTGCGTGTGTGTGCACGCTGTTTCTGCATCCATTCACAGGCTTTTCTTACTCAGTTTAGTTTTGTGCCTGTGTCTATATGTCAGTGTGTGCACGTGTCAACTCTGTCCCTGTGTGCATATGCAGTGTGCGTGCATGCATGTGTGTGTGTGTGTGTGTGTGTCTGGGTTGTGTGTGTGTGTTTCTGCATGTCTGTAAACTGTATTCATGTATGCGTATGGACTGTGTATAAGTGTGTGCGTGGGTGTGTGTGTGTTTGTGAACTATATTCCTCTGTGTGTAAACCATATTCCTGTGTGTATATGGATTGTGTGTGTGTGTGTGTGTGTGTACTATATTTCTCTGTGTGTGCATATGGACCCTGTGTGTGTGTCTGCACTATATTTGTGTGTGTGTGTGTGTGTGTGAACTATATTCCTCTGTGTGTAAACTGCATTCCTGTGTGCGTATGGACTCTGTGTGTGTGTGTGTGTGTGTGTGTGTGTATGCTATATTCCTTGGTGTGTGTGTTTGAACTATATTCATGTGTGTATGGACTCTGTGTGCGTGTCTGTGTATGAATTATATTCCTCTGTGTGTATGGACTGTGTGTGCATTGCATCCCTGTGTGCACATGGACTCAGGTGCATGTGCGTGTGCGTGTGCGTGTGTGTGTGTGTGTCTTCGACTCTCTGGGAGAACATAGTGTCTGCTGTGCTTATGGACTGTGCGTGCACACCTGTGCATGTACACACGTGGCAGTCCCACGCACGTGGCATATGACAGGGTCGAGCCAGCCCCTCGCTAGCCTGGCACCAGAGCTGCTGGGGGGCGCAGAGGGAGGGGGCAGCAGAGGTGGGGGGCTGGTGGGAGGTGGGAAGGCGTCGGGGCAGCACTGGATTGGGCCCATGGCTGCAGCAGGCAGCACCCCGGTGGGTCTGGGGGGCTGGTGGGGGGCTGCTGCTGGGTCTTTGATGGAGTGGACGCATCCTGCACCCCCAGCCCTCTCCCTGAGCCAGCCTGGGACGCTCCTGCTGCCTGCAGTGTGGGCCTGGGTGCTGGGTGCTGGGGGGGCAGTTTCCCTTCTCTGCCCCCCAACCATGAGACAAGCCCTCCGCCCCCGCCCTGGGTGCTCTGAGGTCTCCTCTCCCCCTTGGGCCCCACAAGAAGCAGCCAGGGGCCAGCCCAGCCCCACGGGGCCCCGATCCTCTTCCCACGCAGGCCTGGGGGCCCGAGGTTTGCTCCCATTCTCCCCCACCCCACTCCCCACTTCTGAACCGGTGTGAATCCAGATTCATCACGCTCCTTCCCTCCTCCCCCCGCCAGGGAGGAGGTCATTGCCCCGGGGAGCAACCACCGAGCCCCGGAGCAATGACCTGCCAGGCGCGGGCGCAGGCGGGGCGCAGGCAGGGTGGACGGGCAGACACAGATGGACGGGCAGATGGATAGGTAGACAGAGAGACAGACAGAGCCAGATGGATGAATAGGGAGCCGGACAGAAGGACGGAGAGGTGAAGAGAGAAAGAAATAGCAAGAGAGATGGATGGAGGGCTGGATGGACAGTCAGATGAACAGATCAGATGGATGGATACAAAGATGGACAGAGAGGCAGATGGATGGACAGACACCGAGAGACAGAGGGCTGGCCGGACGGACGGACAGGCCAACAGACAGATGAATGGGTGGATAGACAAATGGGCAGGTGGACCGATGGATGGACAGGCAGACAGGTGGACAGATAAGAGAGACGAATGGATGGATACATGGATGGTCAGACAGACAGGCAAATGGCTGGAGAGATCGATGATGGTCCGATGGACGGTTGGATGGACAGTGACCCCCAGCCCCCGGGGCAGCCCCCTGCCCTGCCCTGCCTGGACTGCCCCTGCCCCTGCCCCTGCCCCTGGGCTCGGGGCTGCTGGCAGGGACCGGGCAGGGCAGGGCAGGGCAGGGCAGGGCCGGGCAGGGCCGGGCCGGGCGGGCTCGGGG